CTCACCCGCCCAGAACTATGTGAATATAGGGATCGGATTATGGTTACAAACTTCTGGGGCATACCCTGTTGAGCAAGTGTAGTTAACAGCACTGACCGATCGACAGAATTGAACCCACACTTGAAGTCAAGGAATACCAGGATTTTGGGTCGCCTGCAGTTAGTAAAAACAGCCGGAGCAGGATGCTGTGTGTAAAGACTTATAACACCGCATTGGACAAACATGTCCAAACATCTAAGAGCGAAAAACAGTCCAGTTCAATTTATCAGCTACGGGGGGTACGCCGCTGATTTCAAAAACTACAGCGTAGTCAGCTGAGCGTACGAATAAGGACGAGGAGGGAAATCCACGTGGTCACCCAATCAATTCATTGATCTGCTGGAAGATGGACTGGAAAGTCACACACTGAACACGGATATACACGTAACAGTGCTCGCAGCATATCCGGCAATGTCGCCTAGCTAGACTCAAACGGAAGTCACCAAGCCGATACTAGACAAAGTGGAAAAGTCCCCAGCGAAATACACCCATCTGCAAACTAATTTGTTTTTTTTCGAGAGACTCAGCTGGAGCATAGCTGAATCTCTCGTTTGTGATGTTTCCGATGCAACTGAATGTGCTGCACCAGGCCGCCTCATGTTTCCGTCGCTACGATATTCCACATATCGCGATACATGTATATATTTGTAATGCACTACTCATAAGGTTGTTGAAAATTCGTCGACAGCCCACGACCAGTTTCGCCCTTCTTGAGGCTCATCAGGTAGGCGCAGTTGGTCAACCTTATGGAAAAGTCCTTATCTCAAATGCAGAGTTTGAGAGGACACTGGACTACACCTTGATGTGGTTTTTACAAGCACGGTCTATGAGCTGCCCATTGTGAATACGACAATGTAACACTCGAGCTGAGTTACAAGGAAAAACGTTGTTTGCATGGAACACCCAAGCTGAGAACGAGTATGCAGTTCAGATCAAGTTTTTGGACTTTGATTCGCTTGAAGTATTATTGATCCGCGTAGGGGATTGAAACGCAGTTCGAAATCGTTACAGACCAAACACGACAGTGAGTTGGTCGGTCGATAAGGAAACCGTTTGTTATGTTAACGCGCGTGTAGGTAGATTTTAGTATTTTTCGCGTACATGCGCACCACCACAACAGCGAATGTGCGAAATTCAATTTCCGATTATTTCGACCAAGGCAAGCACTCCATAACTCCTCGACTAGACAGGACCGAAGAGTTACTATCCGATCGCCCCCCCCCCCGACCGACATCATGCTTGATGTCGCTCGAGGAGGAGTGCCTGCAGAATCGATTCCCTAAGAGGAGGTATCACAATTCAAAACCACCATGAAACTGATCCAGATTGACCATAATACGTTAACATAGGCTCGGGTTCTTTTTCTTTCGAGCATAGGCTACGCACAAATCTCACACGATGAGACCGTTCGCATGCCATTGTTTCCGTCGCGAATAAGTCTTTGCGACAGGCCACCGGGTTTTGTCTGCTCACTTGGGGAGGGACCCACATGGCATAAGATGAACAGCCTCAGAAGGACTCGCCACAGTACACTGATGTGCCGTGGATGCATGTTGAACCACTCAGCTCAAACGACAGCTTAGAATGTCGTGATGTGACTGGAATTCTGTCATCCGATGTGGGCAGATAGTGTATGGTTCGCCGCTTGTTGGCCACTCGTTTGCCCGTACAGAAGGCAATGTCATCACCAGTTAGTTGCTATCACTTGTTTTGGTAACTTTCCTGAAAAGTTTATCGCCTCTGTAAGAAAAGATGACAACGGCCTCACTTGCTCCTTGTGACTATTCATAATCTGTCGAGAGAAAAAAACTACAAAGTCGGGATGAACACCACTTCGGAATGACTGAAGACTCGTGTCATCAAAGAACTTTTCCAATTCGGTTCCCAATTTACGCGACTCAGAGTTAACCATCTTCAGACGAAGGTTACTACCAATAATCTTTGCTCGCGACGTGCGTTTCGGTGGCATGCTCAACGATCGCCCCGTGATTAGATTGGTAAAAAATGACTACGCAGAAGGAAGGACAATCCCAAAAGCGTAAACTCCTCCCCCCGAACAGAAACCTGCCCAGGGGAAGGAGCACATACAGTTTAGTTAGCACATGCCTTGCTTTTGTTTCAATTGCATGAAGAGTGAACTTTCCAGTACAAAAAAAGGCATTTGGATATAATATTTCCCCCAGCCACAACTCCCTCTCTAACACTACATTAGGATTTGTACGGCGCATATGAAGGGTCGGCTAAACCACGGCTGACCACACTGAATAGTGGTCACTTATTCTGCCTGCTGCGTGCTCCTTCCGAAGTTGTACTACAATAAATATAGTGTACTAATATGTCTGCCGCGTTTGCCATTTGACATAGTTTGTAATGGTATAAAGAGCTCTCGAGAGTTTCTCCTAAAAAATTGTCCGAGAGGCGATCGACAGGTACATTCACTGGGAAAGAACTCAGTTGTTACGGTGCGGACCAAAACGTCCATAGTTTGAACCCGACCCAAGCATCTCGACTACTCCTTTCTGGGCCTGGGCAACCTGGCAGTATCGCAGTCCTTGTGCCTTCTTCCATTGGGTATTACAGATGAACAGTTTCATTGGAAAGGCATCTTCGATGTAGGTCAGCGTATAAATAGGAATGTTACAACCGAAAACACATGATCACATGTGAACAAATTTCAGTTTCATTTGTCCCTCTTAAAAGCCAGAAATGTCATTTCAGGGAAACATGACACAACTAGTCTGCACCACCATGAGACAGGCGACGAGAGAAATACAAACAGTGGGCTCCATATCACCGCCGTTGGCAACCGGCGATCGATGCAAAGTCTACTTATTGTGTATCCGATTGATCAAACGACTCTCCCCTAATGTCCAGTTTTGCGAGACATGATAAGGCGAGCGTAAGGCAGAATGACTACAGTCGGTATCTTACCGTAGAAACTCCTTTTGGAAGTGAAAATTGGGCAGTTCGCCTTTCTCGATTAGTTTGACTGCCAATTGGCGTAGAGAATCCACCACGAATTCGGCCACATCCTCGTTGGCGGACTGGCCGGCTGCGGTGAAATGACCACCAATGTGTTCCCACACACGTGACCATTGGAGTCGGATTCGTCCCATGTTGTAGTAGGATATCTCGACGACTTTTTGTAAGGAGAAGGTTCGTGGATGTGGCAGCATGAGTTCCTCACGGCTTACCTGAAAGTAAACGAGAACTGGTTAGACAAAAGGAGCTGGAGAGTAGCTCGGTTTCAATGAGAACTTAAAGCAGCGAAGTAGACCCATCTGCATACCAGTTCAGTTTTCATGGAAAAGCCAACTGAAACTCTCGTTTATCATGTACCCCTTCAATTCAATATGCTGCACCAGGCCACCTCATGTTCCAGTTGGTACGATATTTGAGATATCGCAATACCTAAGGTGGCTGAAAACTCTTTGACAGCGTACGACTGGTTTCGCCCTTCCTAGGGTTCATCAGGTTGATGCAGTCTCCCAAGTTTCCCTCAACCTTATGTTCTACTTGAACCCAAATGCCATAAAATCAGCGAAATACACTCATCTGCATACCAATTCGGTTTCCACGGGGTAGTAGTTGAGAAACTTAGCTGTTCGTGTTCAGACTTTTCTCAAACAGACTCATTTGACTTTAGATGAGTCTAACACAAAAACTTTCAAGTCCCTAGCAAAGGGTGGGGTCAAGTACGGTGCAGCTACAGTAAAAACGTGATACCTGACATAATGCTTTCACAAAATCCACAATAGCGTCCCCATTGAGGCGAATAGAGCCACTGAAAATTTTGTCCACTGCAACGATGACACTGTCGGAGCCGGTCTCGCCCATGACCTCCTGCAAAATCGCAGCTTTCCGCGGATCGACAGAGGCCGCAGCCAATGTGCCGGCAGTAACGGGCTCGTGGAATCCAACGCCAGGTAACGAGGAGAGGGAAAGTATGGAGGAAGATGAGGAGGATTGTGGAGGACCACGACCCTTGGACGTCACGTGAGAACTGAGCGGACTGGTATGGGAGGGTGGAGCAGCTAGACAGGGGTGGAGACATGGGGAGGTAAACGAAAAATAACAGTGAAAAATCCGTTCTGTGGAACGACATTTTCACTTGAATCTATAAGGCCTCCTGGAAAAAGTAGGTGGTCGGATTTCAATGTGTTAATATCAAGCTTCCATTGGCGTTCTTATGAATGGCTTACCCGCTTTAGGAGACAGAGCAACTTATGGTGTGGCTCTCTAAGGAACAACTCAAAGCAACGGCAGGTCGCGCTGTCTGCCACTTTTATTGAAAGAACGACTGATTTTGTTGTGAACGTTTACAACATCACATCCTTCCAGACCTAATAGGATCAAGTTCAACAGCTTTCAAACTACTAGAGCTAAACAAGGAATTTTAAAACCCACAGACTTAGGAAACAGGGATGAAACAAGATTAAATATTGTACATTGGTTCAGAAAGTTATCTAGAGGCCACCTGCCCTCAAAAACCGAACATCACGTCAATGGGACGGACGTATCACGTGCGGGACACGGACCAAACGAAGGCATGCCCTGATTAGTCAGAATATCAGCCAATCTGGATCGAGCATTTTTAACTAAACACTTCTCGCCTCCGCGGAAATTCCCGCACGACCTTGTGGGACATTTTGTGATGATCCTATAACTAAGGTTGTAGTAGTCTCTCTTTAGTTCTATAAAGGGCTGTCCGAAGCCACCGTGCCTTTTGATATACCACAGTGGGCGGAGCAGGAAGCCAAGGACCGACGCAGAGTGGCACGACCGTTCAGCAAGACAAAACACGTCTACTATACAATAGTGCTTTCAAAAGGGAGCAAATTATGGGTAGAGACAGGGCCTCTCACCACTGGCCGACAAAGGCCACTGCGGACTCTCCTGGGGAAGGCGTTTGCCGCACTGTGTTCTACGGTTGTCGTGGACTCCATCTCTTACTGTTAGTCTCACAGTCGTATCTTCTAACATTTCCAGATCCGGTTAGATCGTCACAGTAGGATGTGGACAACATATAGATGACACATCAGCTTTGAGATTGTAGTATGCTTCGCTTTCTGCTATCTGGGTCAGCCTTGCGTTGTTGCCGAGTGAGCCAAAAAGTGGTCTCACGTACCCAGGATGAAGGGAATAATATGAGCGATACTTCCAAGAAGAGGAGACTGAAGTGCAGAGTTGGGGATGCATTCAAAAGGGGATGCACTCGATCTGTCTAGATGCGACTGAGAAATAACTGCATCGATCCAAATCTCCGTTCATCGAGAAGCCAAACTGACTTCGACGTGGGCTGAAGCGAGCGACTCAGGCCAACCGACTAGGGCGGATAACAGCTTTGTTTATGGTGCGCACGGAAAAATAACTCATTGCGTGCTGCTGAGGAGCACAGTGTGTGAAACTGGTTGCACAGTACGGGAACTGCGACCTTGAAAAGTGATAAGGTGGGGGATTTACCGTAGCACGAGGACAGGTGCTTGTTCGCTGCTTCCAGTGAGGAACAATCCCCCACCTGTCGAGCAGTACCCATTGTATTCTCATGACTGAGTAGACTGAGGTTTCAGGTTTTTTTTTGCCTGAATTCATCCACTGGTGTTCGTGGAACAATGCTTCCCAACCTGACCATATGTGGGGTCAGAACAGTCCCAGTTTGATCAATTACAGGCATTCGGTGTGTAGACAATCTTACCAAATCCAAACCTAGTATGCACAGATGAACCAGATGATGTCGACGAGCGATTTGTCGAGATGGTTAGTCGGATTAGTCAAGGTGGTCTGGTCGGGGGCGAAGATACGGTTCAAACAGAAGATGGCTTGTATCAGCCTGCGAAACCCAAGGCGTCGGCGTGACACCAGTTTGTAGCGCTACAGTGGAACTAGGTCGTAAGATTGACAACAACAGTTATTTACAAACGCATATTACCGTGGCTACCTGAAATGTTCCTTGGACATGTGACATGCACATGATCAAGAGGTCATCGTTCCCAAAGTGTGCAGAGATTTGTTGCTATAAAAAAGCTTGATAAACCTGTCCATAACACAGGGTCACGACCGTCTGCATGCCAGCTTGATCACAGACGTCCGACCAACTGTCACTTAGAACGACCATGGGTGATGAACACATAAAAACGCATAAGTAACATCATGTCTGAGGGATAACTGGGAACTTCACGGGCGATCGATTGGTGAGGCGAACAAAAACTATCGACCGACAGACATGAATGACCGAACGATCCACATACCAAACCCGAATTTTGTCTGAAAAATTTGCCATCCTTTTTATGTTGTGACGTCTGATTTTAAACGTTGCTGTGAGAAGTCCGGTGGATAGAATGTGGACAAATATTTCGTTGAAAGAGTCCAAATGGATTGATTATGTTGATCCGGTTACACTTTGGAAACGTTGTACGCGGGAGAGAACAACACTAACAAGATTCAGCGCATTTATGGAGACACCATATTCACACACTAAAACGATTTAGCGAAAGGGGGGCTTAACATGCAGTTTTACAGAGCTCTAGAAACCGAAGATTGTCTCCTTGCCGGAACATTGAACCCGTCGACTTTATCAGAGTACCAAAGAGATAAAGAACTTCAACGAATGTTCAAACAGGCAGAGATGCGCACTGTTTTGACCCTTTAGTCGCCCTCATTTGGTTTTTAAGGTGTACAGGATATCACAATCGGAAGGAAGAGGTGGGGGTATTAGGAAATAAAATAATAACATAGGATGGCTGAACAGGTAAACGTGGGGTTCACTAACCGAGAGATGCGGCCCTATGAAGAAGTCCCGTTGATCCAGAGGCCCCATTAATCAGTCCACTGTTGCTGTGTGCACCAGCTTGGGTGATGAGATGAGCCGATTCCAGTTGGGATATACAACGCAGAATTTCCAACCAGGCATGCCCCAGATAATTTCCGTCTGTCTGCGCGATTGTGATTAGCGTGCGGATGGTGTCGATATTCTTCTGTTTCATTGCTTCGGGTGTGGAGACCGGTACGGTATTGAAACCGGGGCCAGTCGCGGATCCTGAGGACGATAAACTGGCGGTGGACGAGGATGGGAACATTTCCGACTTCGGGCGACGACTGGAGCTATGGGCTCCGGCTGTGGTGGAACTTCCAGCGCCTGAATTGGTAGCATGGGCCGCCGACGAGGTGAGGAGTAGGGTGAATCGGGCCAAGGCTTGGACATAGGCATCACGCTCCGTTTCCATGTGAAAGATACAGGCTATACGGATTGAATAGCGGATGCCTTCAAGACACAGATGGGCCACGTCGAGTGCATCGCAGTCCTGGGAAAGAGGCAAAAGAGAGAACGGTGTCATCCGCAACAGGACAAAAAAATGTTCTCGTCAAGTAGATTTATGATCATCGAAAGCTATACGCATCCAGTAAATTAGAGTGAAGAGACAAGAACTGCTTTACTAAGTGACGTGATGTCGATTCTTGGAGGTGTGATAGTCATGATCGATTGTGACCCTCTATTTGAGTTGCAGTCCCATCACCCCTCAACCCTTCGAGTCAAATCCTTCAATGTGCGACTGTACCGTCTAAAGCCATTCTTCATCTGTGAGTAAACGTATGCTACCTCGTGACCTGGATACAAATCACATCTGATGACGTCAGACACATTTAAGAAAGTGGAATTGCGGAAAACTCAAGTCAACAAAAAAAGCCTACCCAGTTTCTAAACATCAAAGTTGCTTCCCTGTGGGAACTAGTGATCGACATTTATCGCCCCGTTCGGCTCTTATGCGCGGGACCGATCAAATCAGAAAACGTAATATCCACCAAAAACGGGGGTTTTACTAAATATTCGAGAGGGTGGAACGCAACATGCAAGGAAGGCGAAATGGACCGATTGGAACAAAGCAACGAACGAACCACTCGGACACAAGGTAGTCAGACCACGACACAACCCAAACCTCGAAAGGATCAACCACATCACGCACTAGCCAATCTTCAAACGACTAACAACGTTGCAGTTACCAACTACTCTTTAGAGACTGTGCAAATGCGAGAAGTTGAGGAGCTACTCATCCAGTCGCACGCTCACGCTATCCTCCCCGCGCACGGTAACGAAGCGCAGAACACCAACTCAAGTTCACGGTACTCTAGTTTGAACAGTTGTCCCCCTGTCCCAGCGTAGTTATTCTGATAAGTCCGCACATCAAAGGAGGGATACCAGACTCGAGTTTCGCTGTCATAAGAGCTCCTCAGTGGTGAATATTCCTGGTCGAGTCGAGGTTTGAACTAACGTGAAAGGCAAGTGCGTCATCATTACTCCACTAGCGCAGGCGAACGTGATCAGGCTTGGGCGATACGATCGATTTGCCCAACATCTAGAACGAAGACCTAATAACTATCCTGGTTGTGTCGATCAACAAATCCGCTGTCAGGACTTTCGAGTTAAGTAAAGCCTTGAAACTTCCTGGATATCACACCAATTCCCAGATGATCAACAACCAGCCGAAGGAACAAGCCCTTCGCTGCGGAGTTGTTTATTAGAAAACACCAACTGAACAAGTACAGACCATTGGACAGTAAAGCAAAACTCTCATATGTACCTAGTTTTGTAAAATTGAACATCCGTCTTCTTTTTGAACGCGTCCTCCTGAACTTTCCTGAATATTCATATTCATTGCTACGAAGCAAATGTAAACGAATGTTACTACAAATTCCGTAATAAATCCCACCTTCTATTAGATCAAGGTGGAGTTACAAGGAACCATATACTATCACAAGCCTCATCAGTAGTATCCACCGTGAAAACAGTATTCAGACATGTCTAAGCCTATGGAGCAGGCCAATCTGGGTCATCATCCAAAGTATTCGCCCAAAAACCCGACTGCTCGGCAGAGAGTGTCAGAGTGAGGTTGTTGCAGTCGGCATTTGACAGAAAGAGCAAACACACCAGTACCAACCCCTTATCGATCACGAAAACCATGAAGCAGAGCTTCTCTGATCTGACAGAATGCCCCTTATTATTCTAAAACGGTCTATTTTCGCTCTAAAAGCCTTGACAATGAAGTCACATGTAGACTGACAACTCTACCAACCCTCCTCACGTCGGATTCATGCGATCTTCTTCCACATTCAGCGCACAACCATTGAGTTGTTGCCTCCGCGGACACAAACTGCTTTCGGTCGTCTTTTGAAGTGTCCCTTAAGGTTTAGGTAGCTCTTTTCGGGTATCATCCCCAGGGCAGGATATCTGTGGATTTGACGGTGCAAACAAATTTGACACCTAAGTTGAGAAGCACCTAACAGGTGCTTCATCCCTGTTGACGAGGACAGTCATTAGAGGTGTACAACAAATGAATCTACGAAAGGAACTGAATCCGAAACTCCTCCACCCCCAAACAGCATACCTCCCCGTCATTGAAATGCAACACTGATACACACTGAAACAAGATAGGGTTGTAAAAACAAAACCGGAGATGTGTTTGTGACTGTCATTGTTCGGCTATCTGCACATTCCAGGTAAAAGACCGTACCAGTGCCATCATGGGATAGTAAGTTGAAAGCAAACTACTCCAGGTTCTCGGAGGGTTGCATACGACTCAATAGGACGTAGGGTACTTACCTGTAGTCCGACACTGAAAGCCGCCAAAAATGGGGTCCATGCCAGTTTGAACATGGGCCGAACGTGTTCACATTGAGTGGCGCTCGTGAAATCCGAATACGTATTGTCAATCTGAGGAAACGAAGGTGTGAAAGGAAGAAACCATGGTGATGGAAAGAGAGGAGGTCTGAGGACCTGTACGTAAACATTGGCTAACAAAGTAAACCAAACTAAACTGTTTCTGAAAACACGTGAATAATCAAGATCAGTTCTGTGAGTATTTTTTTTATCTTCGAATTTATTGATAAGATCTGGGCTCGGAAAGAGTCGCCTTCGGAAAGAGTCACCTTAACAAAAAATAAAGTTGTTGCCTGCAAAACACACGTATTTTCTCTGTACACGAACTCCGCTCGAATCACCATCATCATCGGTAGCATGAAATCAGTGCTTAACACCGATGCTTCACTGCCGTAGAAAGCCTTGTTGTAAAGAAAAGAATAAAAGTGGACGGCAAAAACACTTAGTTCTAGCTTACCACAATCATTCCGGGGCGCCAATATCTTTAGACACTCATTCAGGCAATCTGAGAGAAACTGACAACAAGATCGCCACTGACAGCACTTGGCAGCCATATCTTGCAGCGTCTCCAACTAAGCGCAGTGAGGATCCCTATTCTGGAAGTCGAATAGCACCTTCATACTCCTCTACCAGGTCGAGGGTTGGCCACCTCTCTGTTTACACCATTCTGAATTGAGCATGGAAAACAGCACTCTCTTCGGCAAGCGATGGTTCGGTATACGCAACACATGTCCCAACCAACGCAGCTTCTGGTGCTGGACACATTCTTCTATGGAAGTACCCGTTGCACAACCGAAAATGCGCTTTCTAACACGAGCTATGGTTCTGAGACAACGATTGTCGAACACCTGAAGACGTCTCAGTTCCGCCGCTCGAATAGGCCACGTCTCACAGCCATACAACAAAACAGCCGGCACTGTAGCTTGATAAACACGTCCCTTGAGACTCAAGGGTACACCACTTTGACGCCATAGGTATCTCGAATTAACAAACGCGACCCTAGCTTTGCAGATTCGTGCATTCACCTCATCGGTCACACTACAATCAGAACTAATACAACTTCCACCATACGTGAAACGCTCCACAAATTCGAGTGCCTCACTCTGGATTGTAAGTGGCGTGTTCAGTGACTGCATGCCAGAATTGAAGGTCACTTGTACGTATGGCCTTGTTATAGCACCTGACAAAGTGTGAAGATTTGGTCAATGCAACCCGTATCAGCCCGGAAACCCGCTTGCTGCTCTCGAGTCAGTGTCTCACGAGCCACGGTAAGGCGACGAACAGTTAACATTCAACCGGGTTCAAATCCACGCGCGAATGCCCTCAAATTGATTACCGGCCCCTGTCTTGAAAAACTGAGTTTCCCGTGAATACCAATTTCAGTTGAAAGTAAGTGTATTACTTCACTTTGGGAAAAACTAACGTCCAAGATAGCAAGAGGGTCGCCAGCTATGCCCACCTGATCATCCCCGAGAAGGTGAAGTCAGTAGAATGTTGTCGAACAGTTTTCACTAGTCTTGTGACTAATGTGCGAATGAAAAGTAATTTGGTATCTTGAACATCTTCCTAACTGAAACAAGAGGCGGTCTTTGTGCAGCGCATTCAGTTGAAGCCTACTATAAACCAGAAGCTTCATTTGAAGCGATTTTTTAAACTAAATTCCTTTGAACGCTAGACACCGGCTGGTCACCACCACCTGTAAGTACAGCGGACTTGTCGTACAGTGCTGACAGGTTCGCTCACCTATGATTTGGGGGGGGTAGCTGCACCGATGATTTGGGGAGATAGGATAAGTACCTGCGCATTGGAGGCGGCAGCTCACATAACTGATGCGAAACTACAAGGTTCTTAGTGGAATTTTCATTTGGAGGATGGAAGGAGAACTATACATTGAGGGTAATAGCTTGGATGCACGAGTGCCATTGAGGGCGCGATTGAGCCATGTCTGACAATGTCTCTAGCTATTGATGACTCCCGGCTCGGGATCCCCATCCAGGGAGACGGCAATACCAGCGCAGGTGAGTTTGCTGATAATGGCTTTCACACTTCTCTGGCAAGTCATTTTTGACCTCCCCCTGGCTCGTTTCCACCTTTCGCGTCGAAGTCGGCATACGGAGCACGTGATCAAGCCAGCGCAACCTATGCAGTGTCATCAGTTCATTTATTGTGAGCGAGCTATTACTTACGAAAACCATTGGACGTACTACAGCATTCCTGATACAGTGTTCCTACCAGACTCAGGCGATTCTTCGAAGACACCTATGGCCAAACACTGTGAAAGCCTTTTGACGTCCTCAACGCGCAGCGGCCAGGTTTCTGATCCGTATAGTGATACGAAGCACACCGCAGTATTGTAAAGTCAACCCTTGACGGATAGATTGATGTCACACCTGCGCAACAGGAAAATATCATCTTTCGTGAGACCACCGGGACTGATAAAGCTGCCCTCAATCGACTCATCTGCAAGCATGAGGCTAGGGTTCGAGCTCACACAGTTTTGCAATAGCACTTTGAACTTTGCAGGTGTGAAGCGCATAGCAAAAGATGTGGGAGAATAATTTAGGTTGTTCAATATTGTTTGCGTTTTCAAAGCGCCAACGCCAAGAAGAGCTGTCGGAGGGTGAAAATATAATCGATGCAGAACGGAACCCAGTCTGGTCTCTCCCTGTGTTCAGTCAACCTTCGAAGGATAAGACTAGAGAGCACCAAACATCAAACAAAGATCGAACAAAGATACAGCGGTCCGCAAACAAATACTATACAGATGAAATCAATCTACTGGGCACTCATAACAGAGTTCTCGCCAATTCAGATTTAGTAAACGGTCACCTTGAATAGTGAGCATCTCCGAAAGTGGCGAAACATCCTGCTCAGCCTTCGGGTTCATCGCTATTCACGAGAGAGGGACCTCTGGGAAAACTGGGAATGATGTGACCGGAACAATCGCCACAAGACATACCAATAAACACGACCACTGGAGATAAGTGGTTCGAACGGAATAGAATAGAATGCCTCTTGTAGTGAAGTGCGATGCCGTGACAAGAGCATGCACATGAGGCAAAAGTGTGCCCATAGTTAGGAGAAGGTCACGAAGACGGTGTGCACAAAACATCCCGGTGACGACCACGGTGGAGACAATGACTTACCGAATTCAACAGGTCCTCTTGACTTCGAGGCTGATCGGTCTTAGCGTTGCTTGGTGAACGGTACTCGTTCGTTTGGCTTCCCATAGTCAAAAGTTTGGCACCCGTTAGACGAGAGAGTGCATCGTCCGAGCGAAGTTGTATGCTACAATTTGCGATTTCATCGTATATTTGACCCAAATACGCCTCTGGAAGGTCCTGGCTATCGTTGATACAACGGTTCATTCGAATATAGTCATCCTGAAGGCAACGGAACGGAATGGAGAACAGTGCGAAAAATGAGGGCTGAATAGTTCGAAAACCGGGATTGGTAGACGAAACGAAACGGACCAATCGAAAGTTAGAACAGGGGGACTGTGTGTGTGTGTTAGGGATTGAGTACCTCCGTTCCCAGTTCAGCCACACTGAAGAGTGAAAACTAGGATTCGAAGCTGTATACAGGTCAGTAAACCAGGGTGAGACGGGCCAACAAAACGCCCCAGAAATGGCCCATAGACGAATGGCCGTTGGGGCTTATTTTACTCATTGTAGGAGCTTACACGGCTACCAAACATGAGTAGAATTCTGGAAGAGGGGTGTAACAGTCATTGCTATCAGAGGGACTTAGTGAGGCAGTTGTAAGATGTATAGAGACACCGTGGGAAACGGATACCCCACGACAGGACAGCATAGAATAAGGAACCAGTTATTAGTATCGCAGTTTGGCAAGGCTGATAGGAAACAGTACGCCGGTGATTCGTCGGAATCGCCTGGATTTTGTACTAACCGACGGAGTGAGGAATGCACACAACCAAGCAGGCATAAGTAAGGAACAGTTGAAAGTAACGAGCAGAAGCTCAACAAATCCGTATTTTGATGAAGTACGAACGTGATTTCGTTGTATCCAGCCATCAGCTAGTCGAGCAGTAGTCCACGCAGTCTGCAAGTCGATAACGATTGTGGGATAATAATTGTTTTGAGGAACAGTTTCGAAGGTAAAAAAATCGCTCGGCTATAAGCACCCCTTCAGTGCCTGGCTGCCATGCCACCCGAAGGAAGCGCGAGGGCTGGGATAATAATTGAGGAACAGTTTCGAAGTGTAAAAAAATCGCTCGGCTATAAGCACCCCTTCAGTGCCTGGCTGCCATGCCACCCGAAGGAAGCGCGAGGGCTGGGATAGTGCCAGGTTGCCTAGACAAGGGAAGTCGAGAGGTAGAGGTCGGGTTCGAACCACGCCCTCTAACCAGTTGAGCCACTTCGCTGATCAAAATGACTTGACCTAGTGAAATTCAACCAACCGTGCCACAAATGGGTGAATGAAGATAAACTGAAGCTGAGTTTTTTCCAAACTGGGTCGTTGAATGGACGTTTGTTGAATAACCCCTGCGAGGTCGGACTGAATTCGAGCGTTCTGTGCTGACCTAGCTCATGATGACAGCAATTATTGCGGCAGTGACAAACAAGATCAACGCAGTCTAAGGATGAGGTAAAACAGTTTTGGATGAGAGCAGTTTGACAGAAGCACCACCGGAGAAGCTATTATAATCGTCAATGATGGGTGAGTTTTCCCAGTGCGGCGTAAAAATTCGATTGTACGCATACGAAATCAGATGAAGGACCTGAAAAGTATCAAGCCATACATGTTCAACCGGACCCGCTTCCAATCGTTACGGAGGTTAATCAAGGGGATGTAGAAGAATCAGACATTTGATACTTTGTTTTATCGTTCCAGACTGATAATCACAAAACAACATGCAAACCAATCGGTTCCACCAGCTGGAGAGCTTGGATTCGGTGTGAATCTGTCTTGTATGCTGTTCATTTCCGTGAACAGTCAGATCGGTTTACCTGAATGGATATAGATCCTTTTAGGGATCCAATAACCGGTGAGTGGACACGTGGTCTTGTGGTCAATGTCTCAAATGATCACATGACTGGTAAATCTGTCCCCCTCTCTCTTGATTAGTCTTAATCAAGATGTGCGTATTTTTCAGGACTTGACCTCAGTTGTCCTAACGTGAGCACAAATTCACAGCTTCAGGAGAGCAATGGAATACAAACGGATTTCTGTGGGCGGACAGAGGAGTGGCCATGTTTAATAGCTTGCAATGGGATGCACTGTACATTGTGCAGTGGAACTTTACTGGAAAACGATGATAATTTAGAAACCCATGATGACGACTTCAAGTACCGGCCATTCGAATTGTAAAAAGCAATAAGCAGAGTCAATTCGCATCCTTGAAAGAAGGCCACCCGCTAGCTGCCCAGTGACTGAGGGATGTCGTAGCAGTGGAAACAACCCTCACACGAAGTCTAACGGTCGCTTCCCACAGTGGTGAACACGGGCATATTTCAAACGAGTCAGTTGTGATTAAGATTTGGCGAAGGTCCGCGGTCCGAAACCGACCTCTGCCTGTCGGCTTCCCCTGTCTAGACTTGGGCTTATGCCTTCCTTCTGTGGCATGGAAGTTAGGCAACGAAAGGGTGTTACAACGAAATGGAGGTCTGGTGAAGAAGAGCTTGAGAGAGCCAAGTGATTAGGGTGCGACCTTACTGACCAAAAGGTCCGTGGTTCGAACCCAACCCCAGTATCCCGACTTCTGCTGTCTACGCTTCGGTAACCTGGGTTCGACGACATTTTCGCGAAATGAAGAAATACTGAGGTGGCAATGTTTCCAAAAGTGCAGGTGATATTGAAATATGCCGACAGACCTCCGCACAACATGGGTACTACCACAAACTGTTCTTGCTCAGCAATAACCTGAACCCGGTGGAAACCCCGACGTTGATCAGAACTTCCAGTCAATGTTTATCAGATCAAACTAACAAGTTCGACAGCAGCGTATTCGGAAAGGCTCAGTGGCTTACACCACTGAGGAGGAATTCACTTGGCTGGCTAGGCAATGACTAGGCTGCACTACGGTTGCCACAGAAAGCTATTTCTAGCCTAACTGAACTCCGAAGGTTTCAGGGCATCCTGACGGGTAAACTGCAACCCCGAATAATAGTAGTAATAATAATAGAAGTAATAATCGTTCAGCTGTACCACCCTTGCGGTTCCAAGCCGCCATTCCACCCGAAGGAAGCATGAGAGCTGAGAAGCTGCCAGGTTACCCAAGCTTACACAGGAGAAGTCGAGATAATGGGGTTGAGTTCGAACCATGGACCTGCTGGTCAGTAACTTCACGCCTTAACCACTGTGCTCAAATTTGTCCCATCGTAAGACGGAGAAACACCGGGTTGAAAATCAGATAGGGACTCAAGCACATCTAAAAAAGCGTCCCGGTGCCCAGCTGTCACGCCACCCGAAGGACACAAGAGAACTGTGATAGTGCAAATTGCCCAAGCCTAGACAGGGGAAGTCGAGAGGTAGAGGTCGAGTTCGAACCATGGACCTTGCTTGGAGTGAGTTCGCGCTCTAACCACTGAGAAATCTCGCCCTCCCAAGCACACCTAGTGCAGGGAAAAGACGGACACCTGACCGACTGTTAGATCACTAGCTCCCTTCCCATTCCTTCCACTTGACAGCCCGCTGACAATGCAGGATTTATGCACCAATTTATCATCTCCCGCCTGCAATGCGCAACTACCTACCCCTCCCCCCAAATCATCGGTGAACGAAACTGCGGCAGCTACAACCACTGTACGACGAGTACGCGGTTATTACAGCTGACAACGATGGTGATGGTGATGATGTTATATCACTAAACAGAAGAGGAGTGTGAGGTCCAAGTGCACATGTGCAATACCGGATGGCAATGCGGAGGTTTCGCTGGTCGAACGGACGTTTAATAGGCTTGCCCGTGGGTTCGAATCACACCAAAATGTGTCGCTGAAAGGCACAGCACTATTGTCAAGAACTTATGGCCAATTTTGTCCTGCAGAAATAGTTACCGGTGCTAAGAGTGACGATGGTAATGACGTTCAGCTATGGCATCCTTTTTGGTATGTAACTGCTGCACATCTCGAAGGAGACACGAGGACTGAGATAATGTTAGTATACCCAAGCATGGACATGGGTACTTGAAATGTCAGAGTTGGGTGCGAACCCAGGACCTTCCGGGATGTAGCTTGGCGCGTTAAATGTTGAGCTACTCCATGACTATCGTAACCTGTGTAATCTAAGCCTTGTGCCTAAAGCCAAGAGGTTCAGCAGTTTCACAATGAAAACCTGGGTACATTCTTACCGCACCAAAATCACTCGAGCGAATATGAAAATACTAGATTCTGGAACCCGTCACAATGGGGGATCTCAAGACAAAAGGGATTGATTGGTTCAAATTTGCGGCAAGCAAGTTATAGTCTTACAAACAATGGATAGATTTTATTTCAACACGTCCGGCAAGGTAAGGTACAATCATCTTGCGAATTCGGGCGTATGTGTACCCGAGCTTACATCTGTGCCACCAGCGAGCGGAATACGATCAAGTCGTTGTGCCCAACACCATATTAGCAAGGTGCATAGAAGCTTGACAGCGATCAGCAAGTTTGCAAGTTAGTCTGCCCAAGCCATAAACGAACCATAAGGGTGAATAACCGCGCCACCCCAACAAACGAAAGGGGAAGAATGTGGAAGGAAGGAAGGATAACGAAACAACTCTAGGAAATCACCACCGAAGAAAGTGTGCAGAACAGGGAGACGGAAGAGGGGGAGGAAGAGAACTGTCTCACTGCAACGGGATGTGTTTGAAACACAGGCAGGAGTTATAACAGAGTAATAACTTCGACGCTAATTACCGTGCACATTTGAAGTAGCGTCTGGCGTAAGTCGGAACGTTTCTGATAAAAAGACCGGACGGATACAAATACGATGAGTTGGTTATGACGACAACAATTAGCCATGGAGGCAGGATAGACGATAATTCTTCCCCTAACATCCGACATTGCCGCGGAGAGTTATGAAAAAAGCGTTCAGCTCTAACACCCTTCCGGTGCCTAGCTATCATGCTACCCGAACGAAGCACGAGGACTAGGATACTGCCAGGTTTCCCAAACCTAGACAGGGGAAGTCGAGAGGCAGAAATCGGTTTCGAATTACGGACCTTCCGGTCAGTGAATTCGCACTCTAACCAGTTAGTTGTGGGATGAAACTGAATCAGTAGCATGCATGAAACTACAAATTTCGGCAGTCAGAAGGTTCGTCATCAAGCAGAGGAAGAATCCTATTAGTCCTCATGAAATTTGATGTAAGCACAAAGTCCAAAGGAGTTGCAGGTTGAACAGGAACAATCAGGAAGCTAGGGTTGAGTTCTAACCACGAA